AAGTTTACTGCCTCCCTCACCTCTAACGCACATCTCACTGCTGTTTACTGCCTCCCTCACCTCTAACGCACATCTCACTACTGAAGTTTACTGCCTCCCACACCTCTAACGCACATCTCACTACTGTTTACTGCCTCCCTCACCTCTAACGCACATCTCACTACTGATATGTACTGCCTCCCTCACCTCTAACGGACATCTCACTACTGAAGTTTACTGCCTCCCACACCTCTAACGCACATCTCACTACTGAAGTTTACTGCCTCCCACACCTCTAACGCACATCTCACTACTGAAGTTTACTGCCTCCCTCACCTCTAACGGACATCTCAGTACTGAAGTTTACTGCTTCCCTCACCTCTAACGGACATTTCACTACTGAAGTTTACTGCCTCCCTCACCTCTAACGGACATCTCACTACTGAAGTTTACTGCCTCCCTCACCTCTAACGGACATCTCACTACTGAAGTTTACTGCCTCACTCACCTCTAACGGACATCTCACTACTGAAGTTTACTGCCTCCCTCACCTCTAACGGACATCTCACTACTGAAGTTTACTGCCTCCCTCACCTTTAACGCACATCTTACTACTGAAGTTTACTGCCTCCCTCACCTCTAACGGACATCTCACTACTGAAGTTTACTGCCTCCCTCACCTCTAACGCACATCTTACTACTGAAGTTTACTGCCTCCCTCACCTCTAACGGACATCTCACTACTGAAGTTTACTGCCTCCCTCACCTTTAACGCACATCTCACTACTGATATGTACTGCCTCCCTCACCTCTACCTTAGTCTTAACCCCCGGCTTAATGAGTGAGCCTGCAAAATACTTTAAGTACATCGGAAGACGGTAACAGACAAAATGGCGTTTTTTTTTGTTTATTTTAAATGGAGAGTAACCTTTAACCGCACGGGACCAGAGGCGTAGCGAGGGGGTGGCAAGGGGGACAGATATCCCCGGGCGCCAAAACCCTCGCTACGCCTCTGCACGGGACAAACATGACCTATTTTCAAACATGCGTGAAAAGCTTTCTACTCTACAAATGTTAAGAACTCAACCAACACTTCAATAAGATTTTAGATCCCCTTATATATCCACGCTTGAAAACAGACTTTTCTATTTAATTATTTTTCCAATAAGAAAAATGCTAAATACCATAACTATAACAATTTTTTTCATTTACGTCAACATAGGAACATGGTGGGGTGGCCATTCCATAGAGTACCGTTATAATTATGTCTGAGATAGCCAACCCACCCCACCCCCCGCTTCCTATTATAAAAATCACTTAAATATATAATGGAGTTAACATTTAACAGCTGCCCCATCAAAATCGGGTTAAAATGCCATAGGTCAAGGTCTATTTATTCACATACAAACTATAGTGTTGTCTAGGCCGATTAATTTTTTTTATAATGCTTTTAGTACGACAAATGAAATGGGACGCTCAAACCAGTGAATGGATATTAAGGTTAGTACGACAAATGAAATGGGACCCTCAAAGCAGTGAATAGAT